GGTAGATTTTAACAGAAGCTCTCTTTTAGGTTGAAATGTTAGGTTTCTTTCTCTATGATGAAAATGTCTTTGATAACATATATTTGCTTTTGTTTCAATTTCAGTATTTTGAAGTTGCAAGTGAATTAAGAGAAAAGAAACAAATGTCCAACACCCAATTAGAGGGAAAATTTCTAAGGCAGCCCCAGGTCAAATGTTTGCCCAAATGGAATCTTTGGAATCATAGAGATAGTCCTTTACCTCCCAGCCAGCTCCATCAGGGAGGTGCTGAGATCACGGTGGAGAGAAAGAAGGGGATACATGTGAGGAGTTAGGTATGTATGTGTAACTCCAGAAAGGTTTGTATTATGTAGAATACTTAGGTAATTATTTTCAAAATATCTAATATTATTTTTCCCAACACAAAATGGACAAGGTTAGTACTCGTGTCTTTCCCCACTTGTTTTCCCATCAGTCAGGCAGATTTTGGCAGTGTCTTCTGTGGACTGTGTACAGAGGGGGTGTTTTTTATGGATGATTCTTTCCATGTTGATTATGACCATGACACCTGCTAAGGGTTTCTGATACCTACTTCCCTGTGCAGTTACTAGTCTAAAAGCATTGATTGTCTTTAAGTAAAGTTTCACTTTTTTCTCTTTTGCTTTTTAATGTAATTACTCATGTATTTGTGTCTACTCAGAAACACCCATTTTTTAAAGGAGTACACCTTTGTCATCATTATATATTGTGATGCTTAAATTTTCCCATAACATGCCCGTGTGAGGACACACATTCAAGTTGACCTGCTCTTTACTTGTTATCTGTCTAGAATTTTGGATTATCTGACCACCCCTGGGAAGACAGTAATCACCAAATTCTAGTTGTCAGTGACACTTTGTCTCCTCTGTCTGTCAATGTCAGATCTCTTCTATGAGAAGAACAACAGGACTGTAGAGAGAACACACAGAAGGTTGACAAGAAGCTGACATATGCCCTTGTTTCCAGTATGTGAGTCATCAGTGCCACCAGTGTGTGTGTGTGTGTGCGTGTGTGTGTGTGTGTGTGTATGATGCGTACATAAGAAGGGTCCATGAGACGAACAAAGAAGAGGAAAATGTCACTGCACATCTTTGACTTGACTGGATGCAGACAGTCTACTCCATCCCTATATTCAGTACAGTAGAGTGCACGAGCATTCTCATCTGCCTTCCTCTCCTCTCCATGAGCTTTCTATCCCCTTTCTCTGCCTTCTAGTAGAACAGGGGAGAAAACTGCGAACTCTCCATGAAGAACCAGCTCCTGGAGAAGAACCAAGTGTGGTGTGGTCTTGTCAGCCTGTTACCTAGCAAGAGTGACAAGATCATGTGGGACTCACCAGGTGAGTCATTTCCTTTTCTCTTCCCATCCGTGTGACCAGCAGGGGATCTGTCATGCCTTGTAGGAACTCAACCTGTTGAGCATGTAGCAGCAATAGCAGCACACTGTGGAACAATGACATTAATAGACTTCCCAGATGACTGTCCCCTGCATGGGTTCCTTTAAATGACCAGGACTGAAATGGAAGCCATCCCCGTCAGACCATTTTCCTCAATGGGCCATGCATTACTGCATCACATTTGCAGGGAGTCCTTATTAAAATGGTAGATATCTGGGTCCATAACAGACACTGAATCAATCCCTGGGAAGTGGGGTGTGGCAAAGCCACTTCTTTCTGGTGGCTGTCCATGTTAAAATTTATTGCTAGTGGGTTTGATATTCTGTCTTCCAGGATATGGAGTCACAGACTGCTCAATTCCACACCATGTTCTCTACTTACTGCCTTAAATATCAGTATCTTATATGGCATATCCATAGGCAAATCAATTCCTTCAGATATGTAATGTTTATCCAGGTATTCACATACTGGCTTCTTTTGTGGGCACCAGGTTTCTGTACTGAGAAGATAACCAGGGGTCCTGGAGTATCATGTTAGATGGGTAAACTGTCAGTAAGCAGAGGAAAGCAGTCGTAGATACACCTGAGATCGTTCCATCACTCTCTCCTTCCCACAGACGATTTTCATAGTTCTGGTCTTGGAGTTCTACATTGTTGCTCTGACAGTCTTTGTGTCCCCTTCTGTGTTCTTTGGGATGGATCCTTAGAAGAAAGTTCCCTGGTCCCCAGAATGCACGCTTGTGTTTTACTAGCATCAGATCCCTCCATAGGCTTGGAGAACAGTGGCATTCTCTCCAGCAATGGAGAAGCGTGTCTCTTTGCTCACAGACTACCCACGTGGAGAGCTGAGAGGAGGTGACTCCTATGTGAGAAACCTGCAGTGAGCATTTCCTGAAATCAGGAGAGTTCATGCTCAGCCTGGACCCTCTGCCTGTCTTTGTCTTTGAAGACGTGGTTCCTCTTCCTCTCTGAGTCCTGTGGCTCTGGTTCTAGTCCCACAGTGTGGGAAAGGGAAGTCACGTGCTTGGTGTCACCTCAATGTCCCCTTAAACAAATTGCTTTCTTGTAGATCATCCATACTTGGGCCATCCCAGGGCAGCATTTGATTTTCTTTGTGGACCAGGCAGTTTAACGCAGTCTCTTTGAATGGTTTCCATTGTAATCCACTTGAGAAGATCCAAAGAGAGAAAAAGGAATTGTGGGAGACATGTAGAAGTGGGGTTAGAATGATGATGCCTGGCATACAATAAACTACAGATTCACAGAAATAAATTGATGACATGGCTGAAGGAAGTGTGTGTGTGTGTGTGAGTGTGTGTGTACCTTCACTCAATCTTGTATAATTTACAATACACAAAGAGAATTATGGTGTGTTGGTATTATTATTTTGTTACCAATTTTGAGGAGTATTTTTTTCTGTTCATAAAATAATTTCCTTTTTCAATGAAAAAGTAGCCTTTAGAAAATAGAGCCAAGTGCCATCTGATGATCAACATGTGAGTTGCAGGACTACAAGGCTACTATGGAGTACCCTATAGGCAAAGTTGGGGCATCAGAGGGCTGTGTGCGTGTCCACTCACTAAGAGCACTTAGGGAGATTATTGCCCTTAGGATCCCGACATCTGGGGATGGTTACAGAATTATGCAATACAACTGAGTGTTAGCGTGTACGCATAGATTAATATACAGACTGCAACTTTCCATTCCAGAGAGGATTTCTGAGGTTTCTGGGGTCAGGTCATGTGGGACCACTTGGACATGTGTGGCTATGCTGTGTGACCATTTTTGTGCATGTTCTCTCGTGTGTACATTATACCTGCGACTCTCTCCTTAGTACCTGAGACTGCGGTAGCTGTGGAAGCTTCACATCTGACTCTTGGTCAATACTGCCTAGTTTTTCTACATAGGGAGTACATGGAATTTCTCCTCCAGCAATGTATGGACTTTTCCTCTGTCACATTTCCCATTTAAGTGGGTGTAGCATAAAGACAACTCAGTCATTAAGCTTTCAATTCTAGAGTATGAAGTCCAGAATTACCCAAAGACATATGTT